GCTCAGAGCAAGAGGGCTTTCAAGAGCCATTGAAACATTTCTACAGCTCTGTATTGAGGACCTACTTTGTGAGCAATAATGTACTGGCTATTCAGGGCTCCAGAACTGCTTCAGAAATCTTTGTACATAATATACAAGATGGCTACAAAGTGTCACAGTATTGATCAAGATCCTCTGACTCAAAGGATCACTTTTTAGAAAAACAATATGATAACATTAGCTAGCATTAGTTGAGCATTCATTAATGCCAAGTATTGTAAAACTTCAAATTATTATCTCCTTTATTACTTCCCACAACTCTTTGAGGTAGCTGGTATTTACATTGTGCCAATGGAAGAGGAATAATTCTCAAATGATACTTTTTGAACATTTTTATTGTAATAACATTTCATTATAACAGATAAGCTGCAGCTGCACACCATTAAAAATCAGCATATGTATAATGGACCAGGTGAGAAAATAACAAGAATAATGAACAACCATATACCAGAGACATTTTGTGGGGGTGGAGTGGGGAATGGGATCAAAAACGGGGGGGGGGGGCGGGCAGAGGGAGGGAAGTGCACAGGATTATGGTGATGGCACACAGGTGACTTAGTGATGGGAAACCCACGGGGATTACAATTGAGATGGAAAAAAATGTACAAAATGATGTAAAAATAAACTTTTATAAAATTAAAAAATAAAAGTAAGGTGAAGGGACCCCAAAAAATAAATTATAAAAAACTAAAACTTTGAAAATGACTTTAAAAGTTAAAAAAAAATCAGCATATGTAAATACTGCACAATGTGTCCACTTAAAGTTCAGTTCTGTCTTCCATCCCTTTTACTTGGTTTATTCAGCCTGTCCTCTTTCCCTTTTGACAATCAAAGTCTACACCCTTTTTTTTGTTTTATTTACTTCATTTGTTTTCTTCTTTAGAGGTCGGGTATAAGTGAAAACATACATTGTTTTTCTCCAAGTTGTTTCACTAAACATGATATCTTTTGGTCCATCCATATTGTTGCAAATGACAGGTTTTCATGTGTTTTCAGAGTTGAATAGTATTGCACTGTGTTCATACACCACATCTTTATACCTTTGTCAGGTCATAGCTGTATAGGTTGCTTCTAGTTCTTAGCTATTGTAATTAATACTGCGATAAACATGAGCATATATTATACCAGTTTTACACTTAAGGAAAGGTGAAGTCCAGAGAGGTTAAGCAACTTGCTCAAGAACACACAGTTAAAAAGTCACAAACCCACACAGCCTGAACCTAGATCCTCCTTTCTTGGCTTCTGTGTGCCAGCTTTCATGATAGCTTTTTCTAACTTCAATCACTTTTCTTCCCAAAGAAATGGACCAAAACCAAAGTTCAGAGAATTTTAGCATAAGAAATATTACGACTTCAGGGAACATCAGGGATTTGGAAGTGGTAGTGGTACTCAGTCCTGAAGAAAGATTAAAAGTTTCTGGTACTGGGCTCTCCCTGGTGGTACAGAGGGTTAAAGTACAGCACTAAGCTAAAGGCACTTCAGCATAAGTTTGATCCCCACCCTGGAGGTGACCACATAGCATGGTAGACCTCTCCTGACCCGTCCGCTACTCCCTTCAGCAGTGTACTTCATCAATCTGCCTGCTCTCCTCCCAACTCTGTTTCTGGTGAATCCTCTCACCACCCCTGCACCTCTGGGCTGTACCCCAGTTCTGTATGCATAAATAAATAAATCTTAAAAAAAAAGTTTCTGGTACTGCTCTGTTGTGAGTTGGTCAGATGGTGACAGAGTAGAAAATTAAGCCTGATTTTGAAATGGCCCACAATGTGGAGCTGGAGGCAAACAAATGTTATTCTAGATTCAGTCTCTACCACATGCATGTGTGTGGCCTGGGACAGCTCCTTTACTCTTCTGAGCCTCCTTCCCTCACCTGTGATGGGGACATTAATTTTTACCTTTCAGATTATAATGATGTTAAGTACAACAATGAATTCAAGTGTGAGACCACAAATATGGGCCACTGGTCACCATCATGGTTACCATCCTTGCCACCATCTTCCAGTTTGGAGGGGATGGGAGGTGCATGATGAAGAGTATTGAACCAGTATCAGGGTCAGGAAGCCAGGCTGCAGTCCTGGCTTGCCGCCACTAATACACATATCCTGGGCTAATCAGCAGTCCTCACTAGATATAGCCTTCATCTGTAAAAGGGAAAAGAACTAGATCCATCCTACATAGTAGATTGAGTCACAAATGAGATAAGAGTATATGAAAATGCTTTGCAATATATAGAATGGACTGAGGGTTCCCAAGGCAGCTCTCAAGGTTGATGACTCCCCAGGAGGACTCACTGGACTCATCAGCATCATATGTATAACTGATTTATGCAAAAAAATGTAAAGCAAAATCAACAAAGGGAAAAGAAGAATGATATACAGTCCAGAGAAAAGGAGGTGCAAGCTGCTAAAAGTCCTCTTCAAAGACTTTCCCCAGTGGAGTCACATAAGTCATGCTTAATTATTCCACAACTAATTGTGGAAGTGTAAATGCTATCTGCTGGGAAAGTTAAGTAAAGTCTCAGTGTCCGGGGTTTTTACTGGGAAGTGGCTACGTGAACACCCCCTACCACAACTCCAGACTCCCAGAAGAAAAGCGGAATCTCAGCAGAAATGGCATTGTCTATACCGTAGAGGAAGAGTGAGCCCTCTTAAGAGGTAATGGTGGGAATCTACCCAAATTCTGAGTCCCCAGATGTCAGTCAAAGACCATCCTTGCAAGCATGCATTTTGTAAGGATAACAATCTATGCCCTTGTTCTGCACAGAAATAGAATCTATAAAAAAAGATTTGTATGTGTATCCACTCAAAAGGGAAAAGGGAACTAATGATAAGCACAACACTGCATTCTTACTGATTGCCACTGTTGCCAGGTACCACAGGCAGGTTCTACATGATGGCCTGATGCAGCATCTGACTGATATGATTCTGTGGTAAAGGTGCCGCTCGCCTCACTCTGGTCATCCGCACTATGCATTTGAGGAGACTGTGGCCCTAGGAGGGTTAAGGAGCTTGCAGAGGAACAGCTGCAAGACTAGAAAAAGTGCAATAGTAGGACCATGATGTGGCCCTGACCCTGGCCCCCTGAGTCTGTTCTCTTAGCCGGAATACTGCACGCCACCATGTTGCATCTGCTATGTGCCGAGTGCTTTGAATGTGTTATTTCATTAATGCGCGTAGCATTTCTGTATGAAAGTAGTCATTGGACTAACATTGCACTAAACTCTGTGGTTCGGAGATTCATTAATTTATGTCAGCTCACCCGTTCAGACAGGTGACAGTGTCAAGAGTTGGTCTCTGCTTCCCTCAGCTACTTTTCCTGGCTAAGGATTTGTTGAAACCAGTAGGAAAAATGCAGGTGGTGAAGGTGGAAATGAGTCATTCGAGGAGCTGAGATCAAAATACCACCCCCCAAATTCCTTCACTTAAGAGATAGAGTTAAAGGGAAACAGAACTATGTTGCAAGTAATTCAATTTTCCTGCAATGTGTGAGAGTGTAGATGCGATCTTTAACTTTTGGGGGGTTGCCATGACAGCAGATGTGACATTTCTTTCATGGAGGGAAAAAAAGAAAGGAATAGAACCACATTTGTTACTTGGTGATTTAAAAAAAAATAATGTGTTCTTCAGATGTAGCTAGTTTTGGATGCATAGTGGTTACACCCAAAGAAATCTTAGAATGGAATCACGAAATAAACAAGGAGGTGTCAACAATCTGCTTCACCAGAGACACCGTGTGCTGTTTGTGCGTGGAGGTTTGTGAGAGTAAGGATACAGGAGGTGCACTATATCAGGCTTGAGACAAATCATCTCCTCAAGATATCAGCTAGTTACTAAATCTTGTTTGTCATTCTCATCTGCTTCCAGTTCCTGAGCCCCACCAATCATATATGCTAGAGGGTGTGATGTTCAGCAAAAGGTCTTTAATGGGTACAGGGTAGTGCAGAAAGTAAGAATTATAATTCAGAGTACCCAGTGAAATGATGAAGGAGGTGGGCATTTTGTGGAAGCAAAGAGATGTGTTTCTATTATTTTGATCTATCTGTATACACAAACACATATACACACACACAGTGCTATATATATTTTTCATTGTATTTTAAGCATTTATTCATGTCATTGTAGTAACCAGTACAGGCACCTAGTTTCAGAAATAATCCAATATTCTCCTGAACAGAAGGCTCACAGTCCCCTAGAGGTGAACATTTAAGCTACCATTTTTCTCTGCTATAAAAGCAGGAATTCTACAGTATGATACAGCTGAGAAGGCTTGTTCATAGCACTACAGGTTTCATCCAGAAAGATCCCCAGGTTTTTCTTCACTAACCCTTCTTTTTGGTGAGTTTTAAATTTGTACTGGGAGGACAAAAGTCTCCATTAGTTATTGAGGTACCTTTGTCCTTTCCTATTTCACCTGTCACTTCTTTTTTTTTTAATAAAGATTTATTTATTTATGCATACAGAACTGGGGCACAGGCCAGAGGTGCAGAGGCAGTGAGAGAATTCACCAGAGACAGAGTGGGGAGCAGAACAGGTCTACTGATGAAGTACACTGCTGAGGGGAACAGAGGGCTGTCCAGGAGAGGTCTGCCGTGCCATGTGGGTCCCCCACTGGCCAGGGCTCCAACTTGCAGTGAAACCACTGCAGCCAGCTTGCAGTGCTGAGTTCTTACCCATTGTGTCACCAGGGAGGTCCCAGACCTGTCACTTCTGAAGGTATCCCAGAAGAGAAACACTACCCCAGTTCAATCACCCATAGACTGTCTTGAAACCTCCAAGGGGAAGCAAGAACTAATTTCAACTTGTAACCAAAAACAGTGGGAATGTGGACTGCAATCCTGGGACTCATTCCTGGGAGTTGGTATCAAATGGATGATGGGATTTCAGAGCAAGAATAAATAATCAAAAGGGAGACTCTTGCTACCTGAGGTTCCCAGCAATGTTCTTTTTTGTTATTTTCTACAGAGCCATGTTCGACTATGACAAGAGCAAGGACAGTGGACTGCCAAGTCAAGGGCTTAGTTTCAAGTATGGCGACATCCTCCACGTTATCAACGCGTCTGATGATGAGTGGTGGCAAGCTAGGAGAGTCATGCTGGAGGGAGACAGTGAGGAGATGGGGGTTATTCCCAGCAAACGAAGGTAAGTGTCTTTTTTCCTGTTTCAGAGTAATTGCTATTCAGTCCTCCAGGGAGTAGAGCTGATTAGAGGAAGACACATCAAACTGTTCACAAAATAGCTGTTTGAGCTGCAGGGTAATTGTCAGTGCTGACAGGTGATGTAAGTTAAAAATTCTCACTGTCCTCACATTAGGGTTTTACCAAAATTGGTGAGTGTTATTATAAAGGAAGAAAATTCTGCTCACACTGCTGTCCTCCAGCTTTTACCCAAATTCACGCCTAGGTTAAGCTAATCAGCTGTATTTTCATTTACAAACTCTGGAAGGTTACCCAAGAGGTTCCAAATTTAGCAGCTAATTCTACAATGACCAAGCAAAAGTGAAATAAAGTAAATAATTTGTTAAGCTAACGTCCTCACTCTGCATTACTTCCACATGTTGGTGAATAAAAATAACTGAAAGCTCTATCCCAAATTCAGATGTTGGGATATAAGCTGTGAAACATCTGGTGAGGTTTAAAACCTGAATTTGCAACTCTCTTTTTTCCTGGTTAGGTACTCTAATCACCACAATCCCCCACTTTCACTAGATACTTAGCTCTGTATGCATGCTTCCTAAGTGGAGAGCATTCCTCTCATTGTCTTGCAAGTATATCTTCAGTGCTGCTTTTGAAAGGCACAATACTCTTCCAGAACAGTCAGCTCTTTCATTTGTCCCAGCTGCTTCCCCACTTCCCAGAAGTCATCACCACCAAGAGGGACTCTCCTTCCCATGAATATCCTTTTGGTACGAAGATATTTTCCAAGAAGCATAAATTATCTACACTGTCAAAAACAGGTATGGTATAAAATCAAAGTGAGGAATAATACTTATTTATTCAAAGCAGTCAGCATCTTTCTTGAGGTGAAGTTTTCTTGAAGGGTTCTCATCCTTGTATCCAAACACTACAAAAGCTTTGTAGACACAGACTGTGTCTCTACAAAGTGAGTCACTGGTTGAGCCAGGGCAGGCCACAGTGGAACAATGTAGATTAGACCCAAGAACTAGCCTGCCAAGCATTAGTATTCCGAAGGACACCGGTACCCATCCTTCCAGCCTGTGGCCACACAACTTGGGGTAGAATGGGTGGAATGGGTGGAGGTCAGTTCTCTGCAGCTGCTTCCTCACCTTGCCTGGGAAAGGGCTGCAGAGAAGAGAGCCTCCTACCTTTCAAATTCAAGATTATGAGTCTGCCAACAGCAGACAGCTCTCTGAGTCTCTAACTTGTCTGCCCTCATCTGAGAGAACAGTCACTGCTTAGTAGTGTTTTCTAGAGGTTAAATATGCAAAGTAGTGACTCTAAGGACCAGTTGATGTTCTATGATTACTCCATTCCCATTTACTTCAAAAAGCAAAATGTCAGGATAATATGCATCTTGGTGCTTTGATTTAATTAACCAAAGCAATCTGAGAGATTGTTCTGTAGAACAGGAACCATTGTTGAATATGGCTTCAACAATGGAAATGAGTAGAAGGAAGGAGATCTATTGGGAATAGATTGGAGCACATTTATTTTTAAGATTTATTTATTTGTACATACAGAACTGGGGTACAGGCCAGAAGTTCAGGGTCGGTGAGTGGCTTCACCAGAGACAGAGTGGGGAGCAGAACAGGCAGATCAATGAAGTACACTGCTGAGGGGAGCAGCAGGCGGGTCAGGAGAGGTCTGCTGTACCATGTGGTCACCTCCGGGGCAGGCAGGAATTGAACTCATGAGGAAGTGGCTTTAGCTTCTCAGTGCAGTGCTTTAACCCGCTGCGCCACCAGGGAGGGCTAGGGAATAGATTGGAGCACATTTTAAAGAAAGTCCTTTATAAGTGAAAACTACCTAGAGGTGCTTTAAATTATCTGGACAGATAGTGAGCTAGAACAATGATTTTCCACCAAAGATACATTATAAAAATATATGCGTTCACTTCCTCTGTGACTTCCCTCCCCACCCAGCACCCCACTCCCAACACACACACTAAAATTCTGATTCAGTCCATCTGGAATGGGCTCTGGAAATCTGTATTTGTTTATACATTCCTTCAGGTAATAGTAGTAATATAAGATCTGGTGGCAAGAACTATTATTAAAAGGATTGAAGGTTTGGTTGGAGAGTTGAACTGTATTATTTTCAGGCCCTTTCCAACTCTGAGGGTCTATGATTCCAACCAGACTTGTCAACAGTCCTTCACCTTGTTCTACTGCTCACTTTCCTCCTAAGGAACATTCTGTGCTCTCTGCTAAGGAAATTTCCCACCTACTTTTGGACATTCTTTAATAAATGACCCCTGTTTGGGGTAATCCATCTTAACAACCATACTGTAGTGTGCCAAGAGACAAAAAAATTTGTTGAATAACTCAAATATTTCTATTTATTTGACTTTTCTTCATAAAAGGCATGGTAACTTCTGTGTGTGTGTGATTGAGAAAATATGTGTGTGGTTTTTTTTTTTTTTTAATGGTTATTCTACCAAACTTTCTCCTTAGGAATTCTTTCAAAAAGTGCTTATTATTATTGTTTTATGTGTTTATATAAGTAACACCTCTCCTTGTGGAAAATAGGACATTTTACAAATGTATTAAAAGATAAAAATCACTCATACCTATATTTCACTGGGAGTTCTTGTACACTTATTTTAATGCAACTTAAAATCCATGGTGTGCTCTTTAATGCTTACTTCTCAACAAAGCACTGTCACTTCACACCACCTTCAGCATCTTAAAAAACAATAGCTTAGAATAAATGACGGTTGCTATGGATATGATTTACTATTCAGCTGAAGTTATTTTTTCCAACCTTATATTCCTCTCTATCCCCTTTCCTGAGTATAGTTCATATACAAGAGTTGGTATCATAGGAAATCTCATCATGGCTAATGACAGTGTATGGCTTCCCGCTTTTAAAATGTCTCTTATTGCTGATTGCATTTAATTGTTTCAATAAAACTAGAAGATAAAGAATATGAAAAGTATTGCCTTCCCCCCAATTTTTTTTTCTCTTGACCCACTACAGTATGGTTGTTAAGATGGATTACCCCAAACAGGGGTCATTTATTAAAGAATGACCAAAAGTAAGTGGGAAATTTCCTTAGCAGAGAGCACAGAATGTTCCTTAGGAGGGAAATGAGCAATAGAACAATAATAATTTTTTATTTAACAAAATAAATTTTTACTTAACAAAATACTCCTAGATCATGCTAGATCATGCACTGTTTTCAACCCTTTAGAATTAATTTATTAAGCCTCATTACAACCACATAAGAAAAATGATACTATTTTTTTCCATTTTACAAATCAGGACTTAAGGCACAGAGAAGTTAATTAGCTTGTCTGAAATTGCACAGCTAGTAAGTAGAGGAATTAGGATTTGAATCCTAATTCCAGTTACAATCCCAATTACAATGCACTGTAATTCATATGCAACCCTGCCACCGAAAGTTACAAAAACTGTTAGAAAAGTTCAATCCACTGTATTTTTGAGCAACTTCTGTGTGTCACAGACTGCTACCAGCTCTCTCTTTGGAGCCCTATGTTTGTGGAACCAACATGTAATTGTGACTCAGTGACACGGTAGTTAGTTTAGTGAGGGTTATACCACAGACAGGGGGATTTAAACTGCAGACATTTTTTTCTCACAGTTTTGGATGCCAAGATCAAATCAATGACTATAGATTGCGCCAGGTACTTTCAAACCTATAATTTCATTAAATTTTCACAAAAGTTTTATAAGGAAACCGAAGCTCAGAGAAGTCTAGTAACTTACCCAGGGAGAAACAGTTAGCCACTAACTGAACCCTGGTCTCTCCAGTAGCAAAACCTGATAGCTCTCCACTTCACCAAGATGAGCCTTTACTAATGAAGATTTCTTACTGTGTATCAGACACTGTGCTAAACAATTTTCCTCACTTACCTCATTTAACATTCGCCATCATTTTTGGAAGTCTTATGTCCTTATCTTACATAAAACCTGAAATCCTAAGAAGTTGAGTGACCTGCTCTAAGTCACAGAGCTTGCAAATGGCAGACCTAAAATTAAAACCCAGGCTTGTGTAATTTCAAAACTTGAGCTGTTCGCATAGAATCTCTGCTCCTGAGATTACAGTTTGTGAGTAACCAACTTGGGTTTGTTCCACAGTTCTTCATCCAAGTCCCTTATTCATTGCTCTACAGTAGCTGTTCTGGGCTCTCACAGGGCAGTGTGCAACTAGCACTGTGTGAGAGTTTACCACCCAGTCTTCGCAGCCAGTCTGTGGCCTACTCAACTCTCCCAGCAACAGAGCCTTTGGGAGCACAATATGGGGATTCTCAGCACCCGAGGATTCATTGCTTCAAGCCTGACCTCATTATGTGTTTAGCCAAAACCTAAGAATACTAGATGGGAAAATGGGGGAGAGAGGGAGATATTTGTGGCATTAAAGTATGACCACTTTGTACCAGTTTTGCCATCCAGTTCGTGTTTTCAGTATTTTTGCCCAGTGACTACATGAAGGCAGAGAATATTACTTCTGCCTAAACAATCTAATTTATGGCGTCTAACTGAGTGTGAGGGAAGAGTTTTCCATCTACACAAGTAAGATCTTTCTATCTGTACAGACCACTGTTTGCTTAAGTAAATGCCTGTGACCCTTAATTTCATACCTTTTTGTCCAAGGAGTCTTGTGTAGATGTTGAGAAACTCTTGTTATCAGAAACATTGATTATCTGGGCAAGTCACACTCTCAGAGCCTCAGTTTTTATATCTGTTGAATTGGTAGCCTCCTTGAAAATTCAAACACTCATTCCCCCATTTATTTAACAAAGGTATATTCAGCAAGCATTATTCTCCCAGCTTCATCTTCAGCCCTGAACCATTGTATAGAATACAGATAATAGAGGTAAAGTATCTGATACTTTTGTGCACTGCAGAATGATAGATATTTTCCTTTCTTCAAAATTTGAGCTTTTGGTGCTCAACAGAACACTGCATTTTCTAGAGCCCTCTATCACTGCCCTCACTCTCATTCCAGCAGTAACCTATCCACATGTATCCCAGGAAGCACTAGGAGAAAAGGAGGCAAGTAAGGGAGAAGAGATAAGCCACCCACAGCCACTGCTACCAAGCAGAGAGATTGGCTGAACCCCAAGAGGCACTCAGCTTGGGCGCTCTGGTGAAAAAGCAAAGTGCTGATGGAGCTGAAGTGCACAAAGTGTCTACTCAAGAGAAAAATCAATTTGACACTTGTGAGGTAGGCTGAAAATAGGCACTTAGCTAACCTGACTTTCCGTGCTAAAAGCAAATTGATTCTGAATTTTGAGGCCAACCTGTTATAGTATGACATTATTTCTGTGGATAGATGTTTTAATTTTTTATGGTTTGTTTAATTAAGGATGTTTGGGATATCGGGATGGAAGTGAAGGGAGAATTATCAATTGTGAAAAAAACTCAGCCTTAAGAAACTGTATTGGTCTTAAAACTGTGCATAACCCATCCCAAATCTTATGTTTGTTGAGAATTCCCATTAGATAATGGAGGCACGGAAGCTCCTCGAATGCTGGATGTGGACAGATGCAGAAGACAGATGTTAGCAACTATGTGTTCAGGACCTATTTCTACCACTTTCCAATTTTGGCAAACTTTAAACCTTGGCTTCCTCAGCCTTAAAATGGGACTGATAACCTACTGATAGTTGCGGAGACTGAATTATGTGATCTCCACATAAGGGATTTTTTTTCCATTAATAATAATCATTAAAACTTGCATTTATGGGCCCTTCCTGATGGCGCAGCAGCACTAAGAAGTGAAAGCCACTTCAGCATGATTTCGATCCCCACCTGCCCCGGAGGTGATCCACATGGCGTGGCAGACCTCTCCTGACCTGCCTGCTGCTCCCCTCAGCAGTGTACCTCGCCCGTTCTGCCTGTTCTGCTCCCCACTCTGTCTCTGGTGAATCCTCTCACCACCCCTGCACCTCTGGCCTGTTCCGCAGTTCTGTACACACAGATAAATAAATCTTTAAAAAAAAAAAACTTCATTTACTACATAAATTATCATCATTTTCACTTTTAAGTTGATAGCAAAATATTCTCATTTCCTTCATGAGCGAGCCAAAACCACATCACCAACACAGGACGTCTTTGAATTTTTTTTTCTTTTTCTTTACTTTTCTATTGCCTGTTTGAAGATGAATAAAACCACAGCAAATATCAGGTGTGTGTGCATATAGGTGTACATGTTTCTGTCTCTCTACTTTTATGACAACATTCTTTGCAGTCGTTTTAAGATTGAGAAATTAATTCTTAAAAATGGCCTAACAAGAACATTTCCTGAGAAAGCTAGGAAGAAGGAACTTAAAACCAGAGGCAAATGTTCATTTCTGTCTAAGAAATTCTTAAAAAGGAATACTGAGTTTAGTTTAATGTGAGTTCTGTGGATTTACGTAATGTGTATTTTCAGACCTTGATCAAATAACCATGAATTCTGTGCATGATGCAGTCACTTGTTTCATCGCATATGCTAGTGTTTCCAGTAGTTATCTGGCCAGCGCACAGAAATCGGGACAGACACATCACTGAAACAACAGCATTAGAAGGTTCCAAGGAGATGAATATGAGTTACCACATGCACTATGTTCAGTGCTGAGAAAAGGGGAAGTAGCTCACAGCTGTTTTCTCAGCAAGCATCATTTCACTGGGTATCTGCTTCAAGATCTTGCTGTCCTCCTAGCTGGTGTATATCATGCAAAGAGAAGCTGTCAGCGAAACTTCTTGCTTTAATATGTTAGATTTGGAAATTTCTGTCCCAATGTTTCCATTCAAACATACTCTTATACAGAAATGAATCTATTATGAAACTCATGCTGTAACTATAGAAACCCTGATCTTCACAGTGTTTTAGCTGGAAACACAAAAGAGCTCTCAGTTTAAAAGGACTATTGCCAATTATTGATCTATGAATAGCTTAGATTTCATAAACCATTGAAGTTTCTATGGAACAAGCATGTTTTTTCTCTTTTCTTTCCCCATTTTAAAATTAGTGGTGACCATATTTAAACAAAAAAAATTACGTTAAAACAATGCAATGAATATTGTTTTATTCAAAGAAATATTTATTGAAGACTTGCTATATGACACTTTAGTGACATGGGGGCTTGCCCTCAAGGAACATACAACCCTTATATATGCAATAGCAAAATTAATACACTCAAAGAAAAATAAGATAATAGCAATAAAGAAGTTCAAATAAAAAATAAGATGGCTTTGAGGAAGAAATAATCATATCTAACAGGAAAGGCTCAAAAAAAAATCAGGGCACTGTTTAAATTCCCTCTTTACTTCATGTTCAGGCCCAGCCTACCAGCAAGCACAAATTCTACCAATTTTATTTCCCTAATATTTCCCAAGTCCTCACCTCGCTCTGCCTGGTTACCATTTCTCATCACTCTTGCCTGGATTATCGCAATTGCTAATAAATAGTAGCGCTGGCTTCCTCCTGATCCTTACTGCCACCAGTCTGTCTTCTCTACCATCCATTTATTTAAATACTAATCTCTTTTATCACATCCATGTTTTATATTTTCTTATGACATATAAGGATCCTGCAGGGGAAAACCCAAGTCAGTAGTGTATATGGGCACCCATCACCTCACCTTCTCCTATCCCTCTCTGTACCAGAAGGTTCCTGTGATTCTCTAGCTGGTTCAAACCTTAAGGTCACAGGTCTTGTTCCCCTGCCTGGGAAATCCTTCCAGAACTTTTCTACTGACAAACTATTTCTCATGCTCACATCTCACATGAATTGGCAGATTTTGCAAGAAGCCCACCTCCAGTGCTTTCTAACTTTTTGATGGATAAATATTCTCACACTGAATCTGTAGTTTCATTGTACTGCATTATCGGTTTTCCTTTGTCTCTGTTTCTACCAAGAGTGCATGATGGGGTACTCATTGCAGTTGCGCATCACAAAATGCTGGTCTTTTGTTCTTTAGCTCCTTGAGAGATTCACAGTAGGCACTTAGTAGTTACAGCATGACTGGAGTCGTAGGTAAAATGATGAATCTACAGAAATGATAGCAGAAGGATATTGAGGAAAAAGAGGAACTGAAGCGCCCAGAGTGAAAGGGGGAAAGTGAGGCATCTTAAACAAAGAGGAAAGGAAGCACAGTGAACTCCAGTGGGGACCATGGGTGATTTGGTGGTGGGGGCACTGATGGGGTATCCAATTATCATTAAAAACAATATGTAATTTTTTAAAAAAGGAAAATTCAAAATATTACATTTGGTTTTGGGGTGAAGGCAAATATACTAGTGTTCTTAGTAAAGAGAAGAAAAGGAAATAAAAAGAAATGGAGAGAAGGCATAGAAAGTGAAAGGGAAAAGAAAGAAGCTTACTCAGTCTCCACTGTATGAGCTCATCTCTATCAAGTGTGATTGCTTGAAAAATACTGATTATTCAGACATTTAATAGCTAATATTGATATTTCTCATAACTTTGTGTCTTTCAAATACTGTGATACTCATATAACACAGAAATTTTAAGGGATATCATATCAGTTCAGGGACTTTATGTCAAGAATTTTATATTGATCAAAGTAACAGAAATAATTAGCATGTGGTTCAGAAACACATTTTTAATATATAAATGTATTTTCTTTTTTGAGACATTTTGTATATTATTTAGCTGTTGCTAACACATCAGTGTAGTGAAAAATCCCTGTTTCTCAACCTGTGTCTGCCTTTCTGATAATTACTTTAGCACAGGTTTTAACATATGGAGATTGTGTACCAGTGAGCATGGACATTTTTAAGGATTCTTAAAGATAAATTATTTTGAAAAGACTTTCCTATCAATATCCATTTCATTTGAGCTGTAAGCTGAGGAGCAAATTTTCTTCATTTAATAAAAGCTAACCATAAATGCTCTGCTATGTGATTGACAATTTTCAATTTTCTTTAGGGTGGAAAGAAAAGAACGTGCCAGATTGAAGACAGTGAAGTTTAATGCAAAACCTGGAGTTATTGATTCCAAAGGGGTAGGTACAGCAGAATCAAAACATTAAGTTCTCTCTGTTGCTATGGACTTAACTATAATTAACACTTAAGCTTTCAGTAGCAAGTAAATTATGTAGCTACCAGACATGTTATAAATATATTTCTAAAAGTAATGATGCAACTTCTCATGCAGTAGGTTTATAGTAAATTTACTAAAATCAAGGATAAAATTGCTAGTAGTCAGCAAAAAAGATGAGTTGATGATGATGGTGTAATGACTACAATGAAAAAGGAAAAAAAGACAGTTTAGATGTGTTCAGTTACTTAATTTTTTTTCAAATTAAATATCCTAAGTGAATTGATTTCATAAAAGATTCATCATAAAATGTCTATTCTGTTACTAAGAAAATTGTGATAGGAACGTGTATTAGAGTTGTCTAAGTGAATACATGGATTGTTGTGACAGACATAGAAAAGAATAAAATAAAATGAAATGTAATCACCAAAATTAATAAATTCACTCACATGTACATGTGTCTTTTTAAGAATAACTTGAATAAGGGATGACTCACATAATAAGCCGTTCACCAATTTATCATGTGTAACCCAATGATTTTTAGTATATTTCGTTATGCAGCCATCAACACAATCAGGTATAAAATGAGTTTTTCAGGAACATGTTTTATAAAGAAACCCTATAGCAGTTACTTCCCATTTATCCCAAGTCTCCTCACCCCAGCCCTAAACAACTACTAATCTTCTTTGTCTATAGATTTGCTTATTCTAGCTATTTCACATAAATGGAACTATACACTGTGTAGTCTTCTGTGAGTGCTTCTTTCACTTTGCCTAATATCTTGAAGATGTATTATATTATAGAGCATAAGTATTTCATTCCTTTTTGTTGCCAAATAGGATTCTGTTATATGGATATACCTCATTTAATTTATCCATTCTTCAATTGATGGACATTTGGGCTGTTTCCATTTGGGGGTTATGGATACTGTTGTTATGAACATTGGTATATAAATTTTTGTGTAGACATATATTTTTATTTTCACTGAGTATACACCTAGGGGTAGAATTGCAGGGTCATACGATATCTGTATGTTTAACATTTTGAGGAACTGACAGAACTGCCAGAACTACCATTTTGAGGAACTTACATTCCCACCCGAGTTCCAGTTGCTCCACCAGCATTTTTTTAATGTCTTTCCACTTAGAGCCATCCTAGGTGGTCTGAAGTGGTAGCTCATGGTTTTAATTTGCATTACCCTAGTAACTGTTTGTTACTGAGAACTTTTCATGTTCTTGTTGACCATTTGTATATATTCTTTGGAGAGTTGTCTGTTTTTAAGTAGGGTTGTTGTGTTGCTGTTGAGTAGCAGATATTCTTAATATATTCTGGATATTAATCTTTTACTGAATATATACATTCAGAATATTTTCTCCCTTTCTGTGAGTTCTTCTGATTTCCTTGGTAGTAGCCTTTGACATAAAAAGTATTTTAATTTTCATCAATTTAATTACAATTTATGTTTTCTTTTGTTACTTTAGTATCATAGATTAGAAACCATTGTCTAATCCAAAACCATGAAGATTTATGTCCATATTTTCTCCTAGAGAGTTTTTATAGTTTCAGCCTCCCATATTTGGGTAAGTTTTTAATTAACTTTTACCTATAATATGAGGTAGGAGTCCAATTTCACTCATTGACTTGTGAATTGTCTTCTTAATTTCATTTCTGGACTACTCACTGCAAGTATATAGAAATTATTTATTTTGTATATCAATCTTATCTCCTGCCATCTTGATGAATCCATTTATTAGTCCAAAATAGCATCTTGATATATTTCTCAGGATTTCTTATATATAATATCATGTTTTTAAAAGGGAAACTTTTTTTTATAATGTAATAGTTTATTTTTACATCATTTTGTACATTTTTTTTCCATCTCAACTGTAATCCCCGTGGGTTTCCCATCACCAGGTCACCCGTGTGCCATCACCATAATCCCGTGCACTTCCCTCCCCACCCCTCACCCCCCCATTTTTGATCCCATTCCCCACTCCACCCCCACAAAATGTCTCTGGTATATAGCTGTTCATTATTCTTATATTTTCTCACCTGGTCCATTATACTCCTGCTATGAGCAAAACCATCCGATATTTTTCTTTTTCTTTCTGGCTTATCTCACTAAGCATGATCTTTTCCAGCTCCATCCAAGTTGCTGCAGAAGACATGTGTTTCTTTTTTTTGGTTGCTGACTAATATTCCATTGTATATATGTACCACATCTTTTTAATCCAATCATCTACTTTTGGGCATTTGGGCTATTTGATATAAAAAGCATTTTAATTTTCATCAATTTAATTACAGTTTATGTTTTTCCAGTTGTAAATAAAGCAGCAATAAACATGCAAGTATCTTTTTGAATCAGCGTTTTTGTGTCTTTTGGGTAGATACCTAGGAGTGGGATTGCTGGGTCGTAGGGAATCTCCATGTTAAGCAGTTTGAGGAACCTCCCAACAGTTTTCCATAGTGGCTGTACTAGTTTGTATTCATAAAAGAGAAACTTTTAGCCTTTCTTTTCAATCTGGATGATTGTTATGCATGGTGGCCATAACTAGAAGCTTTAGTACCATGTTAGATAGAGGTGGCGATAGCAGTTATTCCTGCCTTGTTCCACTTTAAGGGGAACAGTTTCAGTCTTTTGCTATTAAATATGATGCTAGCTATGAGTTACACATTATAAATCTATTTTAAAATGATAGTAGTAGTACTTATTACTATGATAGAACCAGTATCTTGTTACTTTCCCCACTGCAACTAATTAGTTTGTGTGAAGCAGATTGTGACAAGAGTCTTATTAACAGTATGTACAAGAGTTATGAAAATTCAAATTAATGGACATGGAAATGCCCAGAGAGCACTCAAAGAGGCCTGAGACTTTCATTGGCCTATTAATGCTTGACTTCCATCTTCAGAAATATCCACTGATTTTAAAAGCTTGGAGTGCTACAAAACACCAAGCTAAAAAGCTAGATGCTTCATAGGACAGCAAAAATAATTTCAGAAGCAGCCTCTCATCTCAAGGAGTTCACAAAGAGAAATAGGTAGGCAGGCAAATGATTGCAATTCAGTAGTAATGTTGATCTACATAAATGAAGAGGATTAAGTCTTTTAAATATTAGGATACTGAACTTTGGGAGGATTAACTAATTTACCTAAGAGCACACATCTGGTAGGGGCAAGAGTCGAATCACTTTGACAGCAGGTTTGCCTTCTCCACTCATTCACACTGTACCTTATTCTCTCAGAGCCCAGAAAGGGATAACTATAAATATAACTTGAATAAAGGAGTTACCTTCGAAGAGGAGGTGATTTTGAGTAAGATCTTGAAGTTTGAGTAAATGGAGGAAACAGCGTAAACTGAAAGGTAGAAAGTAGGCAAGTTGGAACAGGTCAAGCAGATCAGTGACACCATCTGGAGAGTATGGACGTATAATGGGGGTTGTCTCAAAGAAGGTTGAGAAGGTCAGAAAGTTGGTATGCAAAACATAGATACAATCCTTGAAATGTAATGAATTCTGAGCACCCATGAGGAAATATCTGAATCTCTTCATTTAAAGGAGCACATTTACTACAAATGAAATGCCCAGGCTTTCTGCCCACTCTGTGACTTCACAAAGTTTGCGTCTGCCCATCCAAAGGCAAGTGGACAATTTGCCAGATACTCAGATAATTCCAGCTACCAGACCCCTATACTCAAAATGGCCATCTGTTTCAGTGGGTCTCCTTAAGAATTGGCTCAGCTCCTTGGATCTCAATGCAGGCAAGCTTTCCTGGGAACAGCAGTTACGTTACTTAAGAGTCTCCATTCAAGCCAATCTCTAGTGAAAAACTTAAGTCACACCCTTATTTTCTTTGGTCATTCATCTAACATCCTCTTGCCATTTTATTACTTGTTGAAACATTTTATAAATCACATAATCTTCAGAATTGAGCTGTTCTCCATTGGAAAAAAAAATGAGTAGTTAGTCATTTGTGCTTAATATTGTTTTAATTTTAGAATCCCTGTAATTAAAGAAGGAAAATATGTCAGGAAGCATAGGAGAGAATTATCAACATCCTCACTAAAGGTCAGCAATGTGCAATATAGAAGTCTCCCTTTTGTATTGTAAATCTTTTCTAAAGTGAGGTAGACTATCAATAAATAATTAGTTCTCTTTATTCACAGACTGGTACAAAAGAGAGGTGAAATATTATTCAAAGTAAGAGTGCCCTTAATAAACATCCTTTTCCAGCATACAAACATCTCTTAATCACCATAACAAAACTTCAAGGGAAATCATTTATTCCCACCTTCTAGATTTAGAAAAACTGAGATGTAAAGATAGGAAGAAAACTGAACTCATGCTGACTCACTCCAAAACCCCTAATTTGTGTGCTATACATTCTTTCTTATGAAAGGCATGTCACACTTATATGCTTTAAGAAAATGGAAGAAGTAAATAAAATTGAGATTATCTTTGTCAGAAACTAATAAGTATAGACTCTATTCCTGAATGATGGAAGCTGGTCTTCTCAAAGTTGTACATCTCTCTGGATCGGAACATTCTAAGGAGTTCTTGGCACTACACATTCTCCACTGTGGCCTGTCAGAAGAAAATGAGAGGAGGAAAAATAAGGGGACCGTTCTGGTAAATTCAGTCATATAGTAACCTTCTAATAGATGTCAGTGCCAGGCAGCTGACGAGGCAAGGACCAAGACTGATGAGTCATCATCATTGCCCTGAAGAATCAGGGATTCCAATGGGAAAACAACCTCCCAAGAGAGGGAATTGTTTAATCACAAACTACAAGGAATGGAAAATTGCTTGGAAATTTACAGGAAGGTTCATGTGCAAGAAAATTGAAGGATTTCTATGGAGGGGACAGAGAAAGTGGCTGAAGAATTTGTAAAATTTTCCAGGGGCTAGAGGTGGTGTAGGAATAGGACCCAGAGTGCACAGGAAATGAAACACAGTGTGCTTTTAT